GGTTTAGGGTTTAAAGGGTTTCAAGGTATGGTCATGATGAAGAAGTCACATAAGTCACATCTTTACGACGCGCCGTCGACAGGCCCCTCGACGGGAGTTTATCTGGTTGTCCAAAGGCAAGAAGCTAGACGGACCACGCATGTCGTGCGAGTTGACGAGGCGTGGAGAAGAAGTTCCAAGACGTGTGCCTGATCGATGCGCTCCGTGCGCATGGCTACAAGGTGGACTACGCAAGCGACGGGCCTTTCTGGGCGATCCGAGATGGCAGCATATTCCTCGATCCATTCAGGTCGCTTGACAAGCAAGTATTGCCTGGCTCAGTCACGCGACATGACATTTATAATCATGAATAGTTACTGCCAACGTGTTGCAAGGAAGACAGTCGCTCGGACGACATGGAGCCAGATTGCGACGGTTGCCAATGGCCAGTTCATCTTGACCATCGGTTCGCACTTCATCGCCTTGAGGAAGGAAGACGGCGTGCTGGAGATCAACCAGCGCAACAAGCGGCATGCATGGTGGGGGATTTCTTTAAGCTGCCCGTCAGGGTTCGTAGCATAACAACGCTTCATTGAAGGGTATTGTAGAAGCCCGAATCATTTTTGATAGGGTTCCTTATGATACGTACACCATAAAGGAGCCCAGAACTCTATTCTAATCAGGGAGCATGGGACTTAGTAATTGGGGTTATAAATCAGTCAGTTATGCCTTTAGTTACTTATAACCCCAGTTTAGGTACTTCTCACCTTACTAAGTCCCATGATCCAACTAAGCCCTAAACCCTAAGCCCTAAGCCCTAACTCCGAAAAAAACCCTAAGGCAGGGTTAGGGGGGTTGAAGCTTTCGGAGCAAGATGGCGGACCTTTTTTCCTGCTACGCAGGAGCCTTACAGCTCGAGTCAACTTTGGATTTCGGGTTTAGGGTTCAGGGTTTAGGGTTTAGGGTTTAGGGTTTAGGGATTGGGGTTTAGGGTTTAGGGTTTAGAGTTTAGGGTTTAGGGTTTCAACATACTCCAACCTGGGGCTCTTGTTAAGGAACTTACGTCGTCATTCAAAAGCTACTGCTGTCGGGATCTATAGCAAGCAACAGGGTTTCCATTACTATGGTAGTTTAGTCTAAACTCCTAAACCCTAAACCCTAAAACCCTAAACCTTACACGCCCTAAACTCCTAAACTAGAACCCAGTAACTCCTTGTGTAGGGTTTAGGGAGTAGCAGTGATATCCACTCCGGAGTCTTGAGCTGGGTCCCATAAACCGTTTAGGGTTTAGGGTTTAGGGTTTAGGGTTTAGGGTTTATCATAAACCCTGAACCGCGTAACCTCTGAACCACTGGACCGACCTTTGGGACAACCTACAGAAAGCCTCTGCCTCTAGACCCCCTAAACCTTTCGCGTAAACTCTAAACCCTAAACCCTAAACCCTAAACCCTAAACTCTAAACCCTGAAACTCTAAACAGGAGGGGTTGAAGCATCAGCTCCACAAGCGCCTCGGGACAACTGCAGCTCGGCCGCGCTTTCGATTCTTTCAGGGTTTAGGGTTAAGGGTGGAGGGTTTAGGGTTTAGGGTTTAGGGTTTAGGGTGGAGGGTTTAGGGTTTGGGGTTTAAGGGCTGCTTATTTACATAATTTAGGGTGTTCAGGGGACGTAGCAGTAAAACCCACAATAGCCCGCGCACTAATCCCGAAACTTCAGCCCAAACCCAGTTCCTCAAACCGTACACCCAAACCCTCGTCATAGAATTTTCATAATTAGAACTTTTCTAACCCTAGAAGACACCAAAGTAACTTCAGGAATACGGTAGTAGCGACCCATTATTGACTATAGAGCCCTTACAACTCCTCACGGGGACCCTAAACCTCAACCTTTAAAGCCTACAGCCGAAACCCTTTTCCCTGTTCCCTCAACCCTCGACCCTAAACCCTAACCCTACACCCCAAAACCCTAAACCCTCAACCCTCAACCCTCAACCCGGGCCCCAAACCGTGTAAGTCCTAAAGGGCCCCTCACAAGATTGCAAAAGGGCCTTGAACCCTGAACGGCAAGGACCTCTGAGAGACTTGCCAAGGCCTTAATCTTGTTAAAAGCCTCGGAGTTTTCATAGCAACCAGTACATTAACCCAAATCCTAACCCTGAACCCTAAACCCTAAATCCTGGACCCTGAACCCTCGACCCTAAACCCTAGACCCTAAACCCTAAACCCTGGACCTTGATCCCTAGACTCTAAACCCAAAGTCCTAAACCCAAAACCCTAGACCCTACCTAAACCCTAAACCCTGAACTCTAAACCCTAAACCCTAAAGCCCCAAACCTTCGAGCCTAGAACCAAAACCCTGAACCCTAAACCCTCGAGCCTAAAACCTAAACCCTAGAACCTGAACCCTAAACCCGAGACCCTCAACCGGACCCCAAACCCCATAAGCCGTAAAGGGCCCCTCACAAAATTGAAAAAGGGCCCTAAACCCTGAACGGCAAGGACCCCTAGAGACTTACCGAAGCCTTAAGCCCTTGAACGCCTCGGAGTTTTCACAATAACCAGTACATCTACCCTGAACCCTAAACCCTGAACTGAACCCTGAACCCTAGACCATAAACCCCAAACCCGAGACCCTAAACCCTGAACCCTACATCCTAAACCCGAGACCCCAAACCCCAAACTCTAAGCCCAAAGCTCTACGCCCTAAACTCTAAACCCTTTCTAAACCCTAAACCCCCAAAGCCCTAACCCCCAATCCCTAAGCCCCAGACCCCGAAGTTTAGACCCCAAACCTTAAAGTCTAAACCCTAATCCCCAATCCCCAAACCCTCCCCCCGAGACCCTTTAAAGCCTCGGAGCTTAAACTCTAAACCCTAAACCCCCAAACCCAAAACCCCAAACCCTGAACCCCAAGCCCTTAAACCCTAAACCCTAAACCCTAAACCCTAAACCCTAAACCCTAAACCCCAAACCCCAAACCCCAAACCCTAAACCCCAAACCCTATATAAACCCTATAGAAACCCTAAACCCTAAACCCCAAACCCTGCACCCCAAGCCCAAAACCCCAAACCCTGCACCCTCCAACCGGCCTCTCGGAGCTTTCAGGTCAAAGCGCCCTAAACCCTAAACCCCCGAAGCCCTAAACCCTAACTCTAAACCCTAAACCCTAGACCCTAAACCCTAAACCCTAAACCCTAAACCCTAAACCCTAAACCCCTAAATCGGAGCTTTCAGGTCAAAGCGCGGGCCGGGCCCTCCTTCCAAGAACGCGTGGACGCGGCGCTGAAGGCGCCGATGTCGGGCACCAAAGGCTTCGGCTCCTTAAAGAGCTTGGGGTTCAGAGTTTAAGGGTTTAGGGTTTAGGGTCAGGGTTTGGGGCTTAGGGTTGAAGGCTTTGGCCCCCTAAAGGGCTTGGGGTTTTAGAGTTTAGAGTTTAGGGTTTAGGGGTTTAGGGTTTAGAGTTTAGAGTTTAGGGTGTAGGATTTGGGGTTTAGGGTTTAGGATTTGGAGTTTAGGGTTTAGGATTTGGGGTTTAGGGTTTAGGGTTTAGAGTTTAGGGTTTAGGATTTGGGGTTTAGTGTTTAAGGGTTTAGGGTTTGGGGTTTAGGGTTTAGGGTTTGGGGTTTA